CAAATACACTTTCTGACAACAATGTGTTTGGGTTTGTTTCTCTATCCTGTTTTTCTACTGGCAGTTATCCCTTTTCCAGTTAATGTCTCCCAGGGGCTTTAATGTTTCCCAACCCTCCACTAGGGCTTGCCAGTTTGGCATTCTTCCCTATCATTTACCAGCCTGGAGGTCTGCTTTTTCTCTCAAAGCCAAAAATACTCAGCAGGCTATCAGCACCTCTCCTAGTCAGTGAAAAAGCTCCTCACATCCATATCCTCTCCAGATATGAAGATTCTGCAGTGGGGTTTCAGTCTATAATTATGCGCTGGTCATGACATGAAGAAATACTTTTTTTTTTTTTTAAGAGAGAGTGTGAGTAGGGGAGAAGACAAGAAGGAGGGAAGGAGGGGAAGAGGGGGAGGGAGGGAAGGAGAGGGAGAGGGAGAGAGAGTGAGAGATTGAGAGAGAATCAAGCAGGCTCCACGCTCAGTGAGAAGCCAATTCAGGGCTTCATCGCACGACCTTGGGATCATAAGCAAAATCAAGAGTCAGACGCTCAACAGACTGAACCACCCAGGCACCCCTGGAATACTTTCAATCTTCTTGTTCATGTAGAAATAGCCTACCCAGCAGAAATCCATTCAAGAGGTGACACATTCCAACATAGTATTAAATGTTCTTCAGAGGTTATATTTATGATAGAAAAAAATTAATTATCTACACAGTCATATTAGCAAACTCAAAGCAAGAGTAAAACATTTTGCATACAAATTCATTACCTTCCACATGAAACAGTTATCAGTTGATTTATAAAGTCAATTCCAAGATATTTAGATTTAATAAATAGTAACACTTTCGTCATGGGACTTACTATAGTCTTGCATTTGTGTGGTTACTATGTGTAAGTAACTACACAAGGTCTGTACTTTAGAAAGTCCTTTGACTATACTTATATATTTATAGCAATATTCACTTAAGAACTGTATTATTTTTGCTAAAAGTGACAGACTTTAAAGCAACTTACTTTATATTAATTGTGCGTTGCTGATCTTCCTGTACTCGAGTTGGGCATCGCCAGTTGGAACAGTAACTCTCTTGTATGGTAGACATGAGATTTTCAAGATTTTTTGTAAAATTATCATGCTCGTTCCCAAATAAATCAATTATTAATGAAGCTTTATGAACTTCAGACTTGTATTGCTGTTTTTCCATCTTGTCCCAAATCCAAAGTAGCTTCACAGTTGTAAAACTGTAGGTGTCCATTAAGTAAAGGAAACAGTCTACAAACTCTCTACCTAAATGAAGAGAGAGCTCCCTGGGGAAACTGTCATTTTCGTTAAGAATGACATATAGTAGCATCAAGAATCCATCTATGGTGCAGGTATTTTTCAGTCTTATTTCAACATAAAGTGGTGTACAGGATACTGCTTTGCGGCCAGCTTTGATAGTAAAAACACCTCCCCAAGGAAGAACAGGCCTCCAAAATGAGCGATCTTGGTTATAGTTATTTTTAATTGATGCTTTGATCTCTTCAAACAGTGTCTTCATTCTGCATTTTAAAAGTTTAAAAACAGAACATGTAAATTTGTGACTGTATATGTTAAATTTATGAGATATGTTCAAATGAAAACAAAGCTATCTAAAGATTCAAATTAGAGGCACTTGGCTGGCTCAGTCAGTAGGGCATACCACTCCTGATCTTCCAACTGTTAAGTTCAACTTCCATGTTGGTTATAAAGATTTAAAAATAAAATCTTTAAAAAAATTCAAATTAGGGGCGCCTGGGTGGCTCAGTCGGTTAAGCATCAGGTCATGATTTCAGGGTTCATGGGTTTGAGCCCTGCGTGGGGCTCTGTGCTGACAGCTCAGAGACTGGAGCCTATTTCAGATTCTGTTTCCCTCTCTCTCTGCCCCTCCCCCACTCGTGCTCTCTGTCTCAAAAATGAATAAACTATAAAAAAAATCTTTTAATTCAAATTAAATTTGGTTAGAAGGCCTACCAATATAACGAAAAAACTGAAAACAATTTAAGCTGAGCCATTTTTTGGCAATATGCAAGGCCTCTGGAAAGACCATTTAAGAAGTGCAATCTTTTATAAGGTACAGGATGAGCACGTGATAGACTTTTACCCTAATTATACTAGAGAGTTTATCTTTGCTATAGGAAGACCCTGAAATAAAAAAGTCCTAAATGAAAACAGAGCTTTTAAAGATGCAATCTAAGTTTGGTTTGGTATATTCCTAATGTAAACCTCCTCCTCCCTTCAAAATACAAGTTGTGCTTCATTTCCTTTTTAATATGCATGGTTCCACTTATGAAACTGCTATAATGTAAACCTTAGATGGGCTACAGAATTGCCAATTATCTTTGAAAGACCTCATTTGAAAAGTAATCCACAGAAATCAACTGAATCGGTGCCACAGCTGATATAAAAATCATTTCTATGCACTTTGGGATTTTCACCTGCAATTTAGGACCATGCTGGATATCCTATAATCCTAACTACAGAGCCCATGCTATGAAGATCTAACTTAGAACTTGGTAAGTAATCTGATTCCCCTCTTCATACTTTTGGGAATGAACGGGGGTGTCCTTCCTATTTAAACCATTATTTATCCTTCCCGTAACCTTGAGATTAGCTAAGCATTTTGTTTTTAAAGTCTTTGCCAGTATTCTAATAAACATGTTTGTGTCATAATGTATGTTATATAAAGCAAATTTTTAAAAAGTTAAAGAATGAGGTCCTAGTGAAACTGAATTGAAAATACTGCTTTACTTAGGACAATAAATATCTAAACTAAAAACATCAGAGGGTTTCTCAATGTTACTTTTATGGAAAAGTATATTTTCATGAAAAAGGAAAGCATCTGAAGAACAGAAAGAGACCAGTCGTGACTGAGGTCAACGTCGTACTTTGACTGTCTTTTCAAGTGCCACACACATCCTCTCAAACATAACATAAACCCAATATTCAATATTGCAAACCTATGTGTTTTATTTGTATAAGAAATTAAGTTCACATAGCATACAGCTGCTGAATCACTATGTTGTACACCTAAAACCAATGTAACACTGTGTCAATTATACTTCAATTAAAAAAAATCTGTTTTACACTTAAAAGAAATTAAATTCAAACCGATTTCACAATACTAGTAGACTAAAAATTCAATTCTACAATATATTAAATGCAGGCGCACATGCACGCATGCGTGCACACAGTATTTTCGGCTTGAGGCAAGATACTGTGGACTCTAAAATATTCAACACTATATTTAGTCTTAACTGTAGATGTTTACACATAGTTGGTAACATGTTGTTGGCTCTAGTCAACCATTTAGGAATAAGAGGGCGTGGCAAATCTGGAGACTCAGGCAAACACAAGCGGTTTCTTTTTAACAGGAACTAACAAGTTTCCCAAGCATATTTAAAAAGAAAAACTCATATGGCGTTCAGATGCTTTAAAAATGAAAATAACTTCCTTCATAGTTTCATTTATTTCTGTTTAAGTTTTAAAAACTTTGTAGCAAGGTCAGAAGCCTGAGTTCAGATTCCCAAATGTTAAATTGGGAAGGCATCATAAATCTCTGCAGTGTTTTTCTTCAAATTATCTTTTAGACATAACCAAACAAGGAGTATTTACAGCAGTTGTTATACTTAAGAGAAGTAAACTACAATTTTATATATACATATATATCTGTATGTATAACGAAATTAACTTCTCTAGCCTTTTTCTAGGGGGAGAGAAAGTGAAGGGGTAGAGACGCTTGGAAGAACTAGAGGACACTTAATAATCTTTTCAGCATTAACCTAGTGATTTGTTACAAAGTAAATTACAACTAAAATGAGTAGAAAAGGCGGAGAAATGGCTGCAAAGAGCTTTACTTAAAATTGTCTTGAGATTTCTCCACATAGTCAAAAAGACTTGTTTCCTTAGGCACCGTATTAGAAGCCTTGGAGGAGGTATGCTGCTGGCATTATTGTCTTGATTCAACAGGCCCTAGTTTAAATAAACCTGGAAAACTCTCCTGACCTCTTTTTCCTTGGGAAACGACACCTTTCTTTTGCGGTCATTTTCAAGCGTGACAGTCTGTACTCAACACTGGTCGTGACGACCAGACCATTCACCCTAGGCATGGATGCCGGATTCCCTAAGAGCTCGGCGGTCCTAAGGGTCCCCTCTCGAATCAGCACCCCGAAATAATCTGAAAAATGGCCACGCGCTCCCCCTTGAAGCAGCGCGGGGCTTCTGGGCAGAGACCCTGCTGGGCGCGCGGTGGGCGCCCGCCTCCGTTGCCCGCGCCCGGACACGCCTTCCCCGCCCCCGGCCCTCCGCGCAGGCGAAGGCCTGGCACCGAAGGCTGGCCCCGCAGGGCGGACAGGTCCCTGAGCCAGGAGCAGGTGGGACGGCTCGGCGCCCCTGCCCACGGCCAGCAGTGTTCCCCCCAGGCGCCTGGGGCTGCGGGCACTGGCGGGAGGGCCGGGCCGCGGAAAACGTTCCCACACCGGCCAGTCTCCGTCCACCAGGAAGCCGACTTCTCGTACCTCCCCGGGGACCGAAAACCGCCGGTGCCGCCGCACCCGTCGTCGCCGCCGCTTGCTCATGGAGAGCCCGTGCTGCTGCTGCCGCCGCCTCATCTACTAGCACCGTCCGCTGTCTGGGCCTCCCCGGCGTGAGTGCTGGGCTCTGGCACGGCCTCCATCGCACCCGCCGCGGCGGGAGCCACAGCAGCTCCAGCGCCCAGGCCCGAGCCGACCGGACCCACGGAGCCAGGACCGCAGGACGCGTAGCTTCTTATTACGGAGGAAGATTCGGCCTGACCTCGGCCCCCCTCCCCCCAGCCCCTAGTCCCCAGCCGCCTGACGGTGCTGCTGCGCAGGCGCGAAGACGCCTTCGCCAAACGTGCGTGTGTCGGGTGTGTACACAGCATGCCAGTTTGCCCAATGGGAACCAAGATCAGGTGTGGGGGGCGGGACCTTGCAGTGAGGGACGGTGTTTCAGTGTTTGAGGGTGGGCGGGGCAGCCGGAAGTGGGCAGGGTTTGCATGGAGGCGGGGCTTTGTTGGCAAACCTGTCTGGCTTTTTGAGGTTTGTATCATTTTTAGGACGTTGATTTTAGTGTGCTTCTGGGTCTTGTCATCTTAAATTCCTAATTCAGAAGGGCAAAGTTTATTTTCTTAAAAAATTAGAATTATTGCAAGCTTTTGATTTAAGTTAGGAAAAGTTGAATTGGTGTTGTTAACTGGCCTTTTTAGCGTTCAAGGTAAATTACAGCCGGGATGCTGTAATTTACAATGGAAGTCAATAAAATTTATGGAAATTAGATAGTTTTAGTCCCAATGTAGAGATGAAAAAAACTGAGTTTTGAAAATGATAAATTGCCAGACATTAAGTGTTAGCTGGGAATTAAAGCCAGAGGTGCTTAATGCTAGAATCTGTGGGCTCAACCACTATTCCTGTTCAGTAAGCCCTAGTTCTTGTGTCCTCCCTTAAAAAAATAAAAACTCCTTTCACTCAGCGTAGCACCCTCAAGTTCTATCCATGTTGCTACACATGGCCAGATTTCATTCTTTCTCATTGCCAGGTAGTATTCCATCGTATAGATAAACCACATCTTCTTGATCCATTCATCAGTTGATGGACAATTAGGCTCATTCCATGTTTTAGCTATTGTAGAGAGTGCTGCTATGAACATTGGGGTACATGTGCCCCTATGCATCCGCTCTCCGGTAAGTCAGGCAGAGAAGGACAGATACCATATGTTTGCATGTATAGGAGGATTAGGAGGAACTTAACGGAGGACCATGGGGGAGAAGAAGGGGAAAAATAGTGGCGGAGAGGGAGGGAGGCAAACCATGAGAGACTCTTGAATGCCGAGAACAAACCAAGGGCTGATGGGAGTGGGGGGGAGGGGAAGGGGGGTGATGGGCATGAAGGAGGGCACTTGTGGGGATGAGCATTGGGTGTTATATGGAAACCAACTTGACAATAAACTATTTAAAAAATTAAAAAAAAAACCTCCTGTCACTTAGCTCCTGGATAAGGTCACTCTGAAAAACTACCTTCACTAGCCATTATAAATGTTAATACTGTGGAGATATTCCCATCTAACTGTTTAACAAATATTAATTGTCTGGAAAGTGAAGCCCAACCTCCAGAACATACAATACAGAGAGCTCTAGTCCAGCCCAGCACATCATTGTCGTCCTCAGTCACAGCTGAGTCTGTTGAAGGTTGGATCCCTTCTTGACTAGTCAAGGGTATGGCAAGGACATTCCTAGTGAACTTCTCTCAAGAAGTTTAGTGATAGAGGAATGGAAGGTAGTAGAGAAGTTTGACTTACTCAACATACAGTTGCTGCACAGGGTGATGGGAAGAAACGGACATCTCTCAGAACAGAGGGGGAGGAAAGAGGCTCTGCCCCAAAAGGAAGAATTAATAATTCTGACACAGCCTGCTCTTTTTAGTTTCCCTGTTTTTCTTATTTCTTATGGCATTCACACATGAAATGAGAGGTTCTGAGAGATTAATTAGTATGTCTGTATTGGGTTTTATAGCAAACTTTACTCTCAATATTAAAACTATCCTGTAAGTAGAACACTCTTTTAAAATGTTTGTAAATGTAGATTATATGTTCAATTGGCAATCTCTCACAAGACACAGAATTCATTTTAGACTGATTGGGTTATTCTCTTCCTGAAAACAGAACCCAATAGTGGTGGTTGTCACCATTTCTGGAGAATAGCAGAGAGATGGCTCATAAACTCTACTGAGGCTTAGCTTCACAAACCTACCTGAGCCCTTTAACTGAGATTTCCATTCTGCTTCCTTTCTGCTCCTCTTAAAATCTGACAGCTGAGTTGCAGGGTTTTTTTTTAAGGACCGCTTTATTGAGGTATAATTGACATATAGTATGTGGAGCATATTTAAAGTATGTAATTTGTGAAGTTTTGACGTATATCCATCCCCCATCATCTAGTTGAGTGAACATATCCGTCATCCTCAAGTTTCCTCATGCCCCTTTGTAATTTCCTCCTTGCATTCCTCCCTGCCTCCCACACCTAAGCAACCACTGATCTACTTTACGTCATTATAGAACTCATTTGCATTTTCTAAATATTTATGTAAGTACAATCAAGAGTTTGTATTTTTTTGGAGTCTGATCTCTTTTACTCAGTATCATTGTCTAGACGTTTGTATTGTTCTGTGTACCAACAGTTCACTCCTTTTTTATTGCTGAGTGTATTCTGTTATATGGATGTAGTGCAAATTTCTGCTCATCTGTTGGTGGACATTTGGGTTGTATCTAGTTTTGGGCTATTACCAATAAAGCTGCTATGAACATGTGTGTACAAGTCTTTCTGTGGACATATGTTTCGTTTTTTCTTGGGTAAAAATCTAGAGGCGGAATGGTTGGATCATATGGTAGATGTATGTTCAACTTTTAAAAAACACTTCTAAATGGTTTTCCAGAGTGGTTGAACCATTTTACATTTCAATCAAGACTGTTTTTAGAGTTCCATTTCTTCCACATCCTCACCAATTCTTGGTATGATGAGTTGTTTTTAATTTTAGCCATTCTGATAGGTGTGTAGTGGTATTTTGTTGTAGTTTTAATATGTTTTCCTAATGAGTAATGATGTTGAATATCTTATATTTTTAATGTTTATTTTTGAGAGAGAGAGAGAGCAAGCAGGGAAGGGGCAGAGGGAGGGAGACAGAGGATCCAAGGTGGGCTCTGCGCTGACAGCAGATGGTTGAATGCAGGGCTTGAACCCACAAGCCACAAGACCATGACCTGGCTGAAGTTGGAGGCCTAACCAACTGAGCCACCCAGGTGCCCCTTGAACATCTTCTTATGTTACTTACTTGCTATCTGTATATCTTTTTCGTGAAGTGCCTATTTAGATCTTTGTTCCATTAAAAAAAAATTGGGTGGTTGTTTCTCTAAGTCTTGAGAGTTCTTTACATACTATGGATACAAGTTCTTTATCAGATATATGCTTTGGAAAGATTTTTTTTTGTGTGGTATGTGTCTTGTCTTTCCATTCTCAACAGATGAATTTTGAAGAGCAGAAGTTTTAAATTTTAATAAAGTCCAATCTGTTCTTTTATGGATTGTGCTTTTAGCGTCATTTCTAAGAAATATTTGCCTACCTTAAGCTCACAAAGACCTTTTACTGTGTTTCCTTCTAGAAGTTTTACAGTTTAGGCTGTATATTTAAGTCTCTGATTCATTTTTTTTTAAATGTTTATATTTATTTCTAGGAGAGAGAGAGAGAGACAGTGTGAGCAGGGGAGGGTCAGAGAGAGAGGGAGTCACAGACTGAAACAGGCTCCAGGCTCTGAGCTGGCTGTCAGCATAGAGCCCGACGCGGGGCTCGAACCCACGAACCGTGAGATCATGACCTAAGCAAAAGTCGGACGCTTAACCGACTAAGCCACCCAGGCGCCCCTCTCTGATTCATTTTGAGTCAAATTTTTTAAGATTTAAGGCATGAATTCAAGTTCATATTTGTTACATGTAGACACCCAGTTGTCCTAGCAATGTATCTTAAAAAGGCTCTTCTTTTTCCACCATGCTGCCTTTGTGCTCTAGTCAAAAATCAGTTGTTCAATATCATTTTATAAACATTTTATATCATATGTATTCATTGTCAGCTATATGTCAGACAGTGTGCTAGCACTGGAGATATGTATCAGTAAGTGTTTTTTGGTTGCAGAAACTAGAGACCAAATATTGCCAACCTGAATAAAATAGAAATTTATTGGAAGGATGTGAGGAATAATAGAATTAAAGGAAAAGTTGAACAATTAGGCATCAGCTAACTTGATTGATCAGAAAAGGCAGGGAGTTCCCCCAAAGGACAGTAAGATCCTATTAACAAAAGAAGAGGGAGTGGTGCTGGGCAGATATCTCCTATAGCAGTGCTTCCCAACTTTTTTTTTTACATCCATTCATGATAAATGATCAGAAATGGGCAGTGTACAAGGATAAACTGATGGCGATTAAGTGGTGTCTATACTGGACATGGTGAGAAACATACATCACCTTTCTTTATATTATGTAATCGTCAGGGAAAGACAAAAATATTAGGAAGATATAAAATTTTGAATTTATATAAAACTTCTCAATAAAATCTATTTAAAAATTTGATGAGGAACTTGAACTTGTATCCATGATATGATTTTTATTTCAAACCTTTATTCAAACTTAATTATAATAATAATAAGGAAAGTGTATATTTCATAACTATATAACTTGATGAATTTTTAGAAAGTGAGCACACCTGTTTGTATTCCAATTACATATATTTGCATAACAAATTACTGCTAAACTTAGTAGTAAGTTTAAGTAACAAGTTAAGTAACTTGGCTTAAATTAGCAACATTTATTTTGCTTATGAATTTGTAATTTGGGCAAGGCTTGGTAGGTTAACTTGAAGGCTGGGGACTGGGATCATCTGAAGTCTCCTTTACTTATATGTTTGGCTGTTGTTGCTACCTGTTAGCTGTGACCTTAGGTATGTCTGTGACCAGAACACCTTCAATGGGCCTTTCCATGTGATTCCTTGATTTTTCATAGCATGGTGGCTGGGTAGCAAGGGTGAGCATCCCAAGATAGAAGGCCAGGTGGAAGCTCTACTGCCTTTTCTAGCCCTGCATTAGAAATCATGGAATGTCAGTTCCAGTGTATTCTGTTTGCTGGAGATGAGTCACTAAGACTAGCCCATATAAAAGAGGAGGAAACTGTACTTCACCTTCTAATGGAAGGAGTGTCAAAGGATCGGTGGATATGTTTTTAAAATACTACACTTACCTAACCAATTCCCTGATCAAGAAGCAGAACAGTACCATTGCTCCAACCTTGACTTCTTATCATTACCTGCTGCCTGCCTAAAAGACAACCACTATCCTCATTCCTAACACCATAGCTTAGTGTTGCCTGTTTTTGTAATTTATGTAACTGGAACCATACAATATGTCCTCTTTTGCATCTAGCTTTCCTTCAACATTGTGAGATTCATTCATGTTTTTCCATGTAGATTATTATTGTTTAATATTCTATTTTGTAAATAGCACATAATTTACTTATCCAATTTATTGTCGGTACACATTTGGATAGTTTCCAGTTTTGACTAATCTGAGAAGTTCTGATTTGAAATTCTAGTACATGTCTTTTGGTACTTATATGTGTCATATACACATACACTTCTGTTGAAAATACATGTAGGAGTGAAATTATAGGGTATGTGTATGTTCAACTTTAACAGACACTGCTAAACAGTTTTCTAAACTCTGTCACCTGCAGTGAGTAATCATGATCATGATTTATTAATATTAGGGTTTGTGCTAGAAATAGCTATACACAATCCCCTTTCAAGACCTATTAATAATGATACTCTCAGATTCTTGATAGTTACTATTGATAGAAGAAGGCTGGGCCCCAGCTGGCTCTGTTGAGCAGTATTGTGGCTTCTCCAGCTTGTTGTCTTCTCACCTGATGGTTTAGGGATGTAAGAGCAATGTTTCAGTGAACAAAGCAGACCCTATGTGGCCTTTTATGGCCTAACCTCAGAAGTCTACCCAGTCTTTGTACATAAGTGATGACAAATGGCAGAAGATAGTTTATTTTTTTCAAATAGAATTCAGATAATTTAGTATTTTAAAATTGTGCTCTAATTGTTCTTTCACTAACAAGTATAGGTTGAAATTCATTATGATAATGACAGCAGGTTTACAATCTATTCACATTTTTCATATCAAGTAGCTCATGATAATAATAATGTTTCCCTCTAACCATACACATCTCATCTTAATAACTTTATCTGGGATTCTAATTGTTAGTAGTAAACTATTTTTAATATTACTTTTCGAAGTTGAATTTTTGCTTTCAGTCTATGAACTTAGTTGTTACATGCTGAAATAGGTCCAGAGGGATAATGAAGTGAGTGCCCTGGGATAGTAAGACTGCCTGAAAAGACGAGAGGATGACTTTGATATCTGAACTTGGAGACAGAGAGCCTATCTGAAGAGGTCTTCTTACATAGTCAGCCCATGGTGATCTCTCAAGAAAAGACCTGGGGGAGTAACACCTACATATTGTTGTTCTTTTCCCTCTGATATTGTGACATGTTGTCAATACTTTTACTAATATTTTCTTTGAGAATGGCACCTTTCCATCTCCCTTGCTTCATTGGTTAGCAATATTGATAATTTCCATGCCAGTTAGTAAAATGAATTGATTCTGCAATTGCATAGGGTCAGCTCCATTTTACTCCTGTCTTTGGTGGTGTGGTTGTCATATTGTTACTGCTACATGGGAACTTAGGAAATAAGAAAAAAAAACACTCCTTTTTATTTACCTACATGTTTGCCATTTCTGATGCTCTTCATTATTTTCTATAGAGCTAATTTTCCATCTGGTATCATTTCACTGCAGCCCGAAGAACTTCCTTGAATTTAAAAAAAATTTTTTTAACGTTTATTTATTTTTGAGAGACAGAGACAGACAGACCATGGGTTGGGGAAGAGCAGAGAGAGAAGGAGACACAGAATCTGAAGCAGGCTCCAGTTAGCTCTGTTAGCACAGAGCCTGATGTGGGCCTTGAACCCACGAACTGTGAGATCATGACCTCAGCTGAAGTTGGACACTTAACTAACTAAGCCACCCAGGCACCGCTTGAATATTTTTTCTAGTGCATACCTGCTATGTTCGTTTTTTAAAATGGCTGCACATTCTTTGACATTTTTTCCACCAAGATAATGAATCTTTATTTCCTCCTCTTGAATCTGGATAGGATAGTGATTTCTTTGACCTGTACAGAACAGCAGTAATGAAACCCTATGATTTCTGAGGCTAGGTCATAAAAGACTGTGAAGTTTCTGCTTTATTCACGTGAACACTTGCTCTTAGAGCTTTGGAGCCACCATAAGAGAAGACCATCATGCTGAAGAGGCCACATTCTGGACAACAGAGCCAGCCTAGCCCAGTGATCTAGTCATCCCTGCCATTGTGAGTGAAGCTGTCTTGAACCCTCCAAACTTCTCATTAACCAGGTGAATACCCCCGAGTGATTTCCCTTCTTCGGTGCATAGACATTTATAATTGTTTGCTCTTCCTGATGGATAGACCCTGTAATTATTATATAATGCTCTTCTTCATCCCTTGTTCCTGGCTTTACTTTAAAGTCCAGTTTGTCTTATATAAATATAGCTACTCCAGCTTTCTTTTGACTTCCAGTAGCATGATATACATTTCTCCACCCCCTTACTTTCAATCTGAAGGTGTCCTCCAGTCTAAAATGAGTTTCTTGTAGACAGCAAATAGATGGATTTTTGTCTTTTTATACCCAAGTGACTTCCCTTGATGCCACAAGGAATATAAAGACCACATAGCTGAAATTGCCCAAATCCCTGATTCTCTTAATTGTGAGATATAATAAAAATATTGTTTTAAGCAACTAGTTTTTAGAGATCGTTGTTTTAAGCAACAATTTTTTGGAGTAGTTGTATAGTATTAGATAAGTGGAACAAACATTGGGGTGCTGTTGTAACAAAAAACTAAAATGTGGGATTGGCTTTGGCACAAGAGGTGAGGCAGAAGTTGGCAGGGGTTTGGGAAGGCTGTTAGGGGGATCCTGACAGGCACGGAGGAGGATGCCAATGAGAGCCTAAAGGAAAGTAAGGAAAATTGTTGTTGAAAACTTGAGGAAGGGAGGATCTTGTTCTGTCATGGTAGATGGTTTAGCAAATGTCATAACATGGAAAATCATAAAACGTATTTAATGAACTGATGAATTTGGCTTAGGAGATTTCCAGGCAGAATGCTGAAAGTGTAAACTATATTTTATTTATTTGTTTTTAACTTATGTATCGTAAGGTATGCATAGACCAAGCTGTACTAAATAAGGGATTATTCGACTCTCAAACAATTTAGAGAAACTATGTAGAAACAAGGTCTGAAAACAAAACTATTTCTTATCCTTAGTTTCTCTCAGCAGAAGATACTCAAAGGAAGATGGAGCCACAGAACAAAAATTAAGTTCAAGGCCCTGTTAGAAAAACATGGACTCAAAGTAAAGATGAAGGACTGTAAAGCCTTTTGTTATGAGTTCAGAAAGAGATAAAGCCTTGTAAAAACAATTTTGAGATAATTCCTAAGGGGCTGTAGTACAGACTCTCTCTCCTAAGTAATAAGGCTTCTAAGAATCTTAAAAGTATTATCCCACAGTAGCCTTCATAGGGAGCCCAAGGTGGAAAAGGGGTTGTCTAGAAGATATTTGCAGATGTGGTTTTTTATCTAATAGAATAGATTCTAAATTGATACTCAAAAAAATCCACAAAGTTTTAATAGTAATAATATTGCTTATGCAAAACACACAGACTGTACAAAATGGAGACTTTTGTACCTTTAAACTTCTGTGGACAGGAAGCAGGCGGAGTAGGCTACTCAGCTACAGAAATGGGTTAGTTAGGGGGCACCTGGGTGGCTCACTTGGTTGAGCATCCAGCTTCGGCTCAAGTCACGATCTCATAGTCTGTGAGTTCAAGCCCTGCCGGCTTCTGGGCTGACCCACTCAGAGCCTGGAGCCTACTTCGGATTCTGTGTTTCCTTCTGTCTGCCTCTACCCTGCTCATGCTCTGTCTCTTAAAAATAAGTAAACATTAAAATAAAACAAATGGGTTAGTTCTATGGAAAAGAAAGAATGACTTAGAGGGCAAAACTAAGATCTCAGGAGTAAGGACCAAAAATCATGAAGAATCGTTCCCAGGAAGCAGGATAAGGCCCTAATCATGAGCTGGTAATATATGCTCAGCTGGATTTATAATTTCAGTGGACTGGTGACTCTATTTTCTTCCTTTATTAAATGGGTATTTATTTATTGCAGTTGTTCTATGTCTGTCACACCACTGTATTTTGGGTATGTGTAGGGCAGATAATGTGTCTCTTTAGTTTGCAGGTTTCCAGATCAAGAACTGACCTCAGCAAACTGCATGGAGCCTCATTTGTACCTAGACTTGACTTAAATGATAAGATCCTGGACCTCCAACTTGTGCTTGATGCATTATGGAATGAAACTTGAGAAGTTAGAGAAGGGGTGAATATATATTTCATGAGGGAGAAATATAAAACATTGTTGGCCAGAGGGTAGAGTGTGGCAACTTAAAATCATATCCACAAATTCTCTGGCATTCCTCGTTTTTTTAAATTAGCTTATTTTAAATATTTATTTTATTTTGAGAGAGAGAGAGAACAGGGGAGGGGCAGAGAGATAAGGGAGAGAATTCAAAGCAGGCTTTGTGCTGTCAGTGCAAGTCCAACACGGAGCTCGAACCCACAAACTGTAAGATCGTGACCTAAGCTGCAGTTGGGTTCTCAACTGACTGAGCCACCCAGGCACCCCATCTGTTCCAATTTTCTAGTCAGATCATTTGGTTACTGTTTTTGAGACTTCTTGGTGTATTCTTGGTGTATTTGTTGGATTTGTGGTTTGAAAGTATTTTCTCAGTCTTTAGCTTGTCTTTTTATCCTCTTAACAAGGTCTTCAAAAGTTTTAATTTTAAAGTGCCCTAATTTATCATTTTTTTGTTATGGGTTTGTTTTGATATCAAGTCTAAGAACCCTTCACATTGTCTTACATCCCAAAGATTCTTTTCCTTTTTAAAAAACAAATTTGCATAAATTTATGTTTTGCACTAAAGATTCATTTTAAGTTAGTTTTTGTATTAGATGTGAGGTTTAAGTCAAAGTTCATCTTTTTGTGTATATGTATGCAATTGCTCTGGCAATGTTTGTTGAAAAAAAGGCTATCATTTCTCCACTAAGTTGCGTCTATATCTTTGTGTCAAAAATCAGTTGCGCATTTTTTTGTGGGTCCATTTCTTGGTTCTTTATTCTGTTTCATTGATTTGTGTGTCTGTCCTTCTGCCAATATCACACAGTCTTAATTAGTGTAGCTATATAGTGATACAGCTATGTGGCATGCAAAAAGTTTATATGCCAATCCTGTCACTTGTCTCCTTAAGGAGGTCTGCTTCCAAGATTGACCCTTGGCTAGCATCTGAGAATTATGATTTCAGGATGGCTCTCACCATGCTACTTGATAAGAGTGGCTCACTGTACTTGAACTGCAAACAATGATGGTTTATGCTGAACACTTGCTTTCCATTTGGGAATCTGGAAGTTTAGCGTTTGCTAGGCAGAGTATCCCTATGTGACCAGTAAAAACTGTAAGCACTGAGCCTCTAAGGAGATTCTCTGGTAGACAACATTTCACATGGGTTATTACAATGTGAGGAATTAAGCAAGTTCCATAATTGTAGTAGATGAGAACTCTTGGAAACTTGTGCCTGATTTCCTCCAAATTTTGCCCCATGCACCTTTTTTCCTTTGCTGACTTTGATTTGTGTTTAACTGTAATAAATAGCCATGAGTATGACTATATGCTGTCTTATGAGTCCCCCTGGCAAATCACTGAATTTGAAAGTGGTCTTGGGGACTCAACATTGTGTAGAATGATTCCTTCTACTTTCTTTTTCTTTTTCAAAAATATGTTTTAAGATATTTGGGGTCCTGTGATTTTTCTGTGTACATTTTAGAATAAGGCTATCTATACCTACAAAAAACCTTTGGTAGGGTTTTGGTGGGAATTAAATTAAACCTATCAATCAAATTGGGGAGAACATGTTTACAATGCTTAGTCTTCCAACTCATGAACATAGATAGTATGGCTCCTGTTTAGTTAGGTCTTTCTTTGATTTCTTTTATTAGCATTTGTAATTTTCAGCATACTGATTCAGTACACATTTTGTTAGATTTATGCTTAAGTAGTTGTATACTTTGAAGCAATTGCAAATGGTAGTACTTTAAATTTCATGGTTAGTATGAAGCTTGTTTTTTAGTATTATTAAGGTGGTATGAAATAGTCTTTTAGGACTATTTTAGGACTAAGTCTGGTCTTTCTGAGGTCTCCATTGAGGGCTGCAGTATTTTCAGTAAGGTTTGTCTCTTCTCGAGATAGGGACTAGAATGGCTTCCAGACTTGGGTGAGCTCCAGTAGTTGTTCAGCTCACAGCTGCCTGGTAATTATCCTTTTTCCACTGGTAGTTCTTCATGCAGCTTTGTAAATTCTGTGTGTACACACAACTTATTATTCGGCAAAAGACGTGTGTGCATTTCTGGATCTTCTTCTCTGAGCGCTTCTCTTCTCTCTGGTATTCTGCCTCACAACTTCCAGCAACTTTGTCAAGTGTACCTCATAAAGCCGGAAAAAAGGTAACATTAATAGTCAGATATTATTTCCACTGATTTCTTATCCCCCCTCTCCCTTCCCTGCTGATTAGATCCCTCTACTTCATTTTTTCAAGAGTGTAAGCAGAACTTGAAATAACTCCTCATCAGTCTTCACCTAGAAGAATTAGACTGAAAGAGATATAGTCATGGTCAAGCTCTGGAAATTATCTGATTACTGCTTGCTCCCTCCATGTGATCTGTATTTTGATTTTATACCCAAGATGATCACCAGTGATGACATTTGATTATTAGTATTTCTTTTTATTAGAAGTCCTGATTGGGGTCTTCCTCTAGTAGGTGATTATACAAAACAGCAAACATGCAAACAAACTGTTTGGGATATAAAGACTGTAGAACATCTCTTTTGTTTTCTTCCTTGAGTAAACACACAAATTGTCCTGTAAAAAAAGATTGGCTTAAACTTTGCTTACTATGCTGTCATAGTGCCAGTTTTCAAATGAGTATTTCAGGTTTACAGGAACCATTGTGACCTTGCAAATGGCTGAAAAGTACTGCTACTCTCACTAGGCTGACTCACAGAATTGTCCAAGATTCACCTGGCCAGAGGTTTCCTAGATCATGAACTTGAAACTGAGTCTTGATGTCACTGTGTTAAAAGGACGTTTTTTCGGGGCGCCGGGGTGGCTTAGTCGGTTAAGCGTCCGACTTTCGCTTGGGTCATGATCTCACGGTTAGTGGGTTCGAGCCCCGCGTCGGGCTATGTGCTGACTGCCAGCTCAGAACCTGGAGGCTGTTTCAGAGTCTGTGACTCCCTCTCTCTCTGACCCTCCCCTGCTCACGCTGTCTCTCTCTCTCCTAGAAATAAATAAAACATTAAAAAAAAAAAAAGGATGTTTTTTCTTTGCTCTTGCTAAAATGTGAGAACATAAGATTAGTTTACCAATTTGTCCAGGTACAGATATGAAAGGATGGAGACATAAAAAGATATAGTAATATGGCTTAGCTCTGTTTTGTGCCATTTAATACAGAAATTTGCATTAGAAGGCCATTACTACCCACTCTGGTTCTTATGCTAGTTTTATCATAAGTCACTGGAGAAGCAGTAAATCAATATATATATAGTACCACATTTGTTATTATAATACTCCTACCATTAATGGTTTCTATCAGTAGAATTAAGAAAAATCAATGAATACTATTTAAAAATGTTTCACTAATTTTCCTATTGGGAATAACAGAGTTCAGTGGTGGTCAATAAAGGGAAACATGGTTTCTTTGCAGGATTCTATACCGAAAGTCTATGCTGCAATTCAAATAGGAGAAAGCCAGTTTAGGAGCGCCTGGGTGGCTTAGTCGGTTAAGCGTCCGACTTTCGCTTAGGTCATGACCTCGCGGTTCGTGGGTTCGGCCCCGCGTCGGGCTCTGTGCTGACTGCCAGCTCAGAGCCTGGAGCCTGTTTCAGTCTGTGACTCCCTCTCTCTCTGACCCTCCCCTGCTCACACTGTCTCTCTCTCTCTCTCTCCTAGAAATAAATAAAAACATTAAAAAATTTAAAAAAAAAAAGGAGAAAGCCAGTTTAGAATTTGGAGTTTGTCCTTTTGTTGATAGAATAGATTAGTGGTTGCCTATACTGGCCACGCTTCAGAATAATTTGTGGAATTAAAAATATATAGATATATTACTTAGCTATAAAAAAGAATGAGATCTTGTCATTTGCAACAACATGGATGGACTTAGAGAGTCTTATGCTAAGTGAAATAAGTGAGACAGAGAAGCACAAATACCATATGATTTCTCTTACATGTGCAACCTAAAAACCAAAACTAACAAATAAATAAAAAGCAGAAACATTCATAAGTACAAAGAACAAACTGATAGTTGCCAGATG